CTGCCATCTCACTACTGTCTCTCTCTCATGTCTCCTTCTTTTCCCATCTCCCTCTCTCTCTCTCCCCTCTCCTCTGTTCTCCCTCCTCCCTCGCTTCTCCTGTCTCTCCCATCTTACTACCATCTCTCTCTGTCTCCTTCTCTTCCCATCTCCCTCTCTCTCTCTCCCCTCTCCTCTGTTCTCCCTCCTCCCTATTTTTCCTCTCATCTTCCTCCCTTCCCTCCTTTTGTCTCGCAATTGTCTCCATTCCTTGACCTCCCTTCTCCTCTCTGTTCTTCCTATCTTCTCGCTTCCCTTACTCCTGTCTCCCTCCCGATTCCCAATCTCCCTTTTGTCTTTTACTTTTCTCTCTCTCTCCTTCCTCTCTCTCTCCTTCCTCTCTCCCTCCTCCAGTCTGTTGATTCCTTCCCACTCTCAGACACAGAGCGGCTGTGACAGGCGTGTTATGGTGGCTGAGTCTGATTAGATAACCTGTGATGAAAAGTCAGATAAAGCCCCATATGCTCAGCTACACTTTATCTGGATTTGGGAGACGACAGAGGAGGAGGAGAACGAAAAGGGAGGATGAAAAAAATAATTGGGTCACGCTCTAAGCAATAATGACGTTATAATGCTCTTGCGCAATCTCTGCTGCAGCACGGAATAAATCAAATACGCAACACCCTTCAAAGATAATAACTCATGCCCCCCCCCCCAACCTACCCCGCCCCCACACAGTAAGGATTTGCGTAAAGAAAAAGTTTGACAAATGAATCTGACACCTAATACTACCGCCCTCCACCCCACCCCTCAATGACATTCAATAGCCAATGACATTCAGAATTACTTTACCTCATAGGCATTCAAACTAAGATTGATCAGCAGAAAATATGTCGTGTGGGAGATTAGGGGATAAGGTTGGGCAAGTTTCCATTACTGGGTTCCACTGGTCTTAGTCTCGCATTGCCGTACCTCCAAAATCACGTCGTTGTCACGCCTCCCTTGGAGGTCTGGAGAAAATAATTTGATTGGATATTACATTTCAAGAACCCTCCCCCACATGCCCATTGGTGCTACGTGTGTAATGAATACTCAGGGAGGAAAAGGTGTAGATTCACACACAGAGCACGGCAGGTGTTTATTTAGCCTTCGCAGATGGCAGGAATCATAGTCACAGGCCGGCAATGGTCATACACAGGTAAGCAAACAGGCAGGTGAATCAACCAGGACTGAAGGCTATAACTGGTTCTCAGAAACAAGCTAGGAAAAGGCTTAGTAGAGTCAAAACGAATACAAGGTGAACTAAGAAAATGAATACAGAACCTTACAATCCTGTTATGTTTGTCACTGTTTTCAGACCGGGAAGGACACATTTTGCAGACTTGTTCCGTATGCTAGTTTGCAACATTGCAGAAAACCTGGAGGAAAAACGAAATTCTGTTTTGCCAGAAGTGTGCTCTATACTCTTAGAAAAAAGGGTTCCAAAGGGTTTCTGAGGTTGTCCCCATAGGATAACCCTTTTTGGTTCCAGGTAGAACATTCTACCTGGAACCAAAAGGGGTTCTTCAAAGGGTTCTCCTACAGTGGCTTGCGAAAGTATTCACCCCCCTTGGCATTTTTCATATTTTGTTGCATTACAACCTGGAATTAAAATGGATTTTGGGGGGGTTTGTATTATTTGATTTACACAACATGCCTACCACTTTGAAGATGCAAAATATTTTTTATTGTGAAACAAACAAGAAATAAGACAAACAGAAAACTTGAGCTTGCATACAGTGGGTGAAAAAAGTATTTAGTCAGCCACCAATTGTGCAAGTTCTCCCACTTAAAAAGATGGGAGAGGCCTCTAATTTTCATCATAGGTACACGTCAACTATGACAGACAAAATGAGAATTTTTTTTCCAGAAAATCACATTGTAGGATTTTTTATGAATTTATTTGCAAATTATGGTGGAAAATAAGTATTTGGTCAATAACAAAAGTTTCTCAATACTTTGTTATATACCCTTTGTTGGCAATGAGACAGGTCAAACGTTTTCTGTAAGTCTTCACAAGGTTTTCACACACTGTTGCTGGTGTTTTGTCCCATTCCTCCATGCAGATCTCCTCTAGAGCAGTGTTGTTTTGGGGCTGACGCTGGGCAACACGGACTTTCAACTCCCTCCAAAGATTTTCTATGGGGTTGAGATCTGGAGACTGGCTAGGCCACTCCAGAACCTTGAAATGCTTCTTACGAAGCCACTCCTTCGTTGCCCGGGCGGTGTGTTTGGGATCATTGTCATGCTGAAAGACCCAGCCACGTTTCATCTTCAATGCCCTTGCTGATGGAAGGAGGTTTTCACTCAAAATCTCACGATATATGGCCCCATTCATTCTTTCCTTTACACGGATCAGTCGTCCAGGTCCCTTTGCAGAAAAACAGCCACAAAGCATGATGTTTCCACCCCCATGCTTCACAGTAGGTATGGTGTTCTTTGGATGCAACTCAGCATTCTTTGTCCTCCAAACACGACGAGTTTAGTTTGAACCAAAAAGTTCTATTTTGGTTTCATCTGACCATATGACATTCTCCCAATCCTCTTCTGGATCATCCAAATGCACTCTAGCAAACTTCAGACGGGCCTGGACATGTACTGGCTTAAACAGGGGGACACGTCTGGCACTGCAGGATTTGAGTCCCTGGCGGCGTAGTGTGTTACTGATGGTAGGCTTTGTTACTTTGGTCCCAGCTCTCTGCAGGTCATTCACTAGGTCCCCCCGTGTGGTTCTGGGATTTTTGCTCACCGTTCTTGTGATCATTTTGACCCCACGGGGTGAGATCTTGCGTGGAGCCCCAGATCGAGGGAGATTATCAGTGGTCTTGTATGTCTTCCATTTCCTAATAATTGCTCCCACAGTTGATTGCTTCAAACCAAGCTGCTTACCTGTTGCAGATTCAGTCTTCCCAGCCTGGTGCAGGTCTACAATTTTGTTTCTGGTGTCCTTTGACAGCTCTTTGGTCTTGGCCATAGTGGAGTTTGGAGTGTGACTGTTTGAGGTTGTGGACAGGTGTCTTTTATATTGATAACAAGTTCAAACAGGTGCCATTAATACAGGTAACGAGTGGAGGACACAAGAGCCTCTTAAAGAAGAAGTTACAGGTCTGTGAGAGCCAGAAATCTTGCTTGTTTGTAGGTGACCAAATACTTATTTTCCACCATAATTTGCAAATAAATTCATATAAAATCCTACAATGTGATTTTCTGGATTTTTTTTCCTCAATTTGTCTGTCATAGTTGACGTGTACCTATGATGAAAATTACAGGCCTCTCTCATATTTTTAAGTGGGAGAACTTGCACAATTGGTGGCTGACTAAATACTTTTTTTCCCCACTGTAAATTTTTCTTAAAGCAATGGCTTTTTTCTGGCCACTCTTCCGTAAAGCCCATCTCTGTGGAGTGGCTTAAAGTGGTCCTATGGACAGATACTCCAATCTCCGCTGTGGAGCTTTGCAGCTCCTTCAGGGTTATCTTTGGTCTCTTTCTTGCCTCTCTGATTAATGCCCTCCTTGCCTGGTGAGTTATGGTGGGCGGCCCTCTCTTGGCAGGCTTGTTGTGGTGCCATTTTTCAAAAATGGATTTAATGGTGATCCTTGAGATGTTCAAAGTTTCTGATATTTTTTTCTAACCCAACCCTGATCTGTACTTCTCCACAACTTTGTCCCTGACCTGTTTGGAGAGCTCCTTGGTCTTCATGGTGCTGCTTGCTTGGTGGTGCCCCTTGCTTAGTGGTGTTGCAGACTCTGGGGCCTTTCAGAACAGGTGATATATACTGAGATCATGTGACACTTAGATTGCACACAGGTGGACTTTATTTAACTAATTATGTGACTTCTGAAGGTAAATGGTTGCACCAGATCTAATTTAGGGGCTTCATAGCAAAGGGTGTGAATACATATGCACGCACCACATTTCCGTTATTTATTCTTTTGAATTTTTTGAAACAAGTTATTTTTTTTCATTTCACTTCACCAATTTCGACTATTTTGTGTATGTCCATTACATGAATTCCAAATAAAAAAACAATTTCAATTACAGGTTGTAATGCAACAAAATAGGAACAACGCCAAGGGGGATTAATCATTTTGCAAGGCACTGTATGGGGACTGCTGAAGAAACCTTTTTGGTTCTAGATATCACCTTTTTTTCTAAGAGTGTATACACAAAATCGACATACATCAACACATTTTGATGTGGTTTTAATCAGCGATTTCCCGGTCATCCTCACCATAGACAGTAAGAAGATCAACACTGGGTCTCCACCCCTATTTACCTATATTTCTGCCATTCATTTCTTAATGGACAACCAACGTGGTGGTTGTGTGTGTGTGTGTGTGTGTGTGTGTGTGTGTGTTTGTGTGTGAATGTAAGTGAGTGTGTGCATGAATGGGAGTGTGTGAGTGTGACACACAAGGAATAGAAGGTCATCCATCATGGCTGTACTCTAGAGCATGGCAGAGCAGAACAGGGAAGGTTAATACAGCTCTTAGCACTACCAAGGCTCTCCACTATTCAACAAAACATCTCTAAAGGCATTTCCACTGAATATGATATAGCTGCTTTTTACCACACATCCAATATATACATTTACATATCACAGTGGGGAATTTAGATATTTTACTTAACCTTTATTTAACCAGGAAAAGACCCTTGATGTTATGATCCTCTTTTTCGAGGGAGATCTGGCAAGAGGTCAGCAGGAAGTAGTCAGTGTGTACATACAACACAAGAACATAATACAATACATTAAAAACAATCACAATGGTCAACAACATTTTCCTCTGTCAGAGCTTTAATCTCAAGTGATACCCTCTCCTCCAGTTTTAAAGTATGTTGCAGCTTGTTGCAAGACCAAGGATATACTGTATAAGTGAGGAGCACAGAAAAGTTGGCAATAGTCCAAGCACTGCATTGTACACCAAGATGTATAAATGTTTCAGCCTTCTTGTAGAAAGGGAGGGCCACTTCACCATGTCGTTTATAGATCACAGTGTTGAGTGAGTGGCCTTGCATTTGTTAAAAATCTAAGCGCCCCGTGATATACAGTGTCCAGTATCTTAAGGGTGCTGGCTGAGTCTTGCATGTAAACAATGTCACCATACTCAAGCACAGATTTTTTTTGTTTTATCCCTTGGACAAGGTCTTTCCTTACTGACAGATAAACACTATTTATTGCTGAATTAAAACCCCAACTTAAATGTCAGCTTTTTTGATAAAATGTCAACGTGCTGTTTGAAACTCAGCTTTTCATCTATCTAGATACCAAGATACTTATAAGAGGACACCCTTTAAATTTGTTGACCATTTAGAGTTAAAATTAGCAAGTGACTCCATTTGTCTGCCTTGAGATTGGAAAAAAAAACATGAACTGTGTTGGTGAAGTTGTTTCTGAATGTTGTCAAATGCTTGTTGTAAGTTCTGAAAAACATCCTACATTTTAGAGGCACAGGAATAAACTATTGTGTTTTAAGCATACAATGGAGATTTGCAGATTTTACATTATTACCAATATAATTTATAGACGGTGTAAAAAGGACAGGCCCCAAAATGTACCCTTGAGGAACCCCCTTTGTCAGCTGTCGATACTCTGACTTCATGCCCTCCTTTGCCACACACTGCGTTCTGTCAGACAGGTAGTTTTGGAACCAATCAAACGCTTCAACACCTAAACCAATTTGTTTAACCTATGCAGCAGCAGGGCATGGTCAACAGTGTGGAAGGCTTGCAATAAATCAATATAAAGGGAGACAGTGCTGTTTTTTGTCCTGTGCATCCTGAAGATCACTGATCACCTTGGTTGCAGCTGACATAGTACTATGTTTAGCTTTAAATCTCAACTCATTTGGGGATAGAAATAAATAAAAGACAGTAGCTCCATGACACGCTCTAGTGGAACTAAATGCTTACAGCACCTGGTATTCCCAGGCGGTCTCCCATCCAAGTACTAACCAGGCCTGACCCTGCTTAGCTTCCAAGATCGGACAAGATCAGGCGTATTCAGGCTGGTATGGCCGTAAGCTTAGGAATAACTCTTGGTACACTATAGAAAGTAAATGTGTCACATACTCTGAAAGGGAGACAAACAATTATCCACTTTGTGACACAGACTGAAGAAGCTCAAACCTTGCTTACATTTCCAGCCAACATATTTGAGTCTTGCGGGTGGAAAAAGAGTGCATATCCTATGTTGACTTATGACAAATTCATGGACCAGGGCCCTATAAAATAGGCATTGCGGACTGAATCAAGGAGTCCAGACATTAAACCGAAATTCAACAATATAAAATGTTTTATTGAACTTAGTAGGAAATCAACTAAATCTATTCAACTTGTTAGAAAACGCATTCATATACCTAAGTGAATCATAAGACATGAACAAAATGTATCAGTGATTCGTATTTCCATGCAACTTAATGAACAGACTAAAAACAAAGGCTGAATGTACTGCCTATATTTTGAGGGAAACAGACTGTCTCTTATTTAATTTGATCAGGGCAGGGCAGGGCAGCACATACACACTTTATTTAGTCCAATAAAAATACATGATATTATTAGGGTGATAAATAAAAGGCAGTTGCTCCATGACACATATATTTTGAGGGAAACGCACTGTCTATTATTTAAATTGATCAGGGCAGGGCAGGGCAGCACATACAAACTGCATTTAGTCCAATAAAAATACATGATATTATTAGGGTGATAAATAAAAGGCAGTTGCTCTATGACACATATATTTTGAGAGAAAAACACTGTCTATTATTTAATTTGATCAGGGCAGGGCGGGGCAGGGCAGCACATACAAACTGCATTTAGTCCAATAAAAATACATGATATTATTAGGGTGATAAATAAAAGGCAGTTGCTCCATGACACATATATTTTGAGGGAAACGCACTGTCTATTATTTAAATTGATCAGGGCAGGGCAGGGCAGCACATACAAATTGCATTTAGTCCAATAAAAATACATGATATTATTAGGGTGATAAATAAAAGGCAGTTGCTCTATGACAGATATATTTTGAGAGAAAAACACTGTCTATTATTTAATTTGATCAGGGCAGGGCAGGGCAGGGCAGGGCAGGGCAGGGCAGCACATACAAACTGCATTTAGTCCAATAAAAATACATGATATTATTAGGGTGATAGAAAAAAGGCAGTTGCTCCATGACACATATATTTTGAGAGAAAAACACTGTCTATTATTTAATTTGATCAATGCAGGGCAGGGCAGGGCAGCTCATACAAACTGCATTTAGTCCAATAAAAATACATGATATTATTAGGGTGATAAATAAAAGGCAGTTGCTCCATGACACATATATTTTGAGAGAAAAACACTGACTATTATTTAAATTGATCAGGGCAGGGCAGGGCAGCACATACAAACTGCATTTAGTCCAATAAAAATACATGATATTATTAGGGTGATAAATAAAAGGCAGTTGCTCTATGACACATATATTTTGAGAGAAAAACACTGACTATTATTTAATTTGATCAGGGCAGGGCAGGGCAGGGCAGGGCAGGGCAGGGCAGGGCAGCACATACAAACTGCATTTAGTCCCATAAAGATACATGATATTATTAGGGTGATAAATAAAAGGCAGTTGCTCCATGACACATATATTTTTAAGGGAAACGCACTGTCTATTATTTAAATTGATCAGGGCAGAGCAGGGCAGCACATACAAACTGCATTTAGTCCAATAAAAATAAATGATATTATTAGGGTGATAAATAAAAGGCAGTTGCTCCATGACACATATATTTTGAGGGAAATGCACTGTCTATTATTTAAATAGATCAGGGCAGGGCAGGGCAATACATACAAACTGCATTTAGTCCTATAAAAATACATGATATTATTAGGGTGATAAATAAAAGGCAGTTGCTCTTTGACACATATATTTTGAGAGAAAAACACTGTCTATTATTTAATTTGATCAGGGCAGGGCAGGGCAGGGCAGCACATACAAACTGCATTTAGTCCAATAAAAATACATGATTTTATTAGGGTGATACACACAAACTGCATTTAGTCCAATAAAAATACATGATATTATTAAGGTGATAAATAAAAGTTAGTTGCTCCATGACACATATATTTTGAGAGAAAAACACTGTCTATTATTTAATTTGATCAGGGCAGGGCAGGGCAGGGCAGGGCAGGGCAGGGCAGGGCAGGGCAGGGCAGGGCAGGGCAGCACATACAAACTGCATTTAGTCCAATAATAATACATGATATTATTAGGGTCATAAATAAAAGACAGTTGCTCCATGACACAAGAATATGCTCTAGTGGAACGAAAAGCTTACAGCACTTGGTATTGCCAGGCAGTCTCCCATCCAAGTACTAACCAGGCTTGACCTGCTTAGCTTCCAAGATCGGACGAGATCAGTCGTATTCAGGCTGGTATGGCCGTAAGCTTAGGAACAACTCTTGGTACACTATATAAAGTAAATGTGTCACATACTCTGAAAGGGAGACAAACAAGTATCCACTCTGTGACACAGACTGAAGAAGGTCAAACCTTGCTTACATTTCCAGCCAACATATTTGAGTCTTGTGGGTGGAAAGAGAGTGCATATCCTATGTTGACTTATGACAAATTCATGGACTAGGGCCCTATAAAATAGGCGTTGCGGACTGAATCACGGAGTCCAGACATTAAACCGAAATTCAACAATATAAAAAAATGTATTGAACTTAGTAGGAAATCAACTAAATCTATTCAACTTGTTAGAAAACGCATTCATTTACCTAAGTGAATCATAAGACATGAACAAAATGTATCAGTTATTCGTATTTCCATATTTTGAGGGAAACAGACTGTCTCTTATTTAATTTGATCAGGGCAGGGCAGGGCAGCACATACAAACTTTATTTAGTCCAATAAAAATACATGATATTATTAGGGTGATAAATAAAAGGCAGTTGCTCCATGACACATATATTTTGATGGAAACGCACTGTCTATTATTTAAATTGATCAGGGCAGGGCAGGGCAGCACATACAAACTGCATTTAGTCCAATAAAAATACAAGATTTTATTTGGGTGATACAAACAAACTGCATTTAGTCCAATAAAAATACATGATATTATTAAGGTGATAAATAAAAGTTAGTTGCTCCAATGCACATATATTTTGAGAGAAAAACACTGTCTATTATTTAATTTGATCAGGGCAGGGCAAGGCAGGGCAGCACATACAAACTGCATTTAATCCAATAAATACATGATATTATTAGGGTGATAAATAAAAGGCAGATGATCCATGACGCATATATTTTGAGGAAAAGCACTGTCTATAATTTAATTTGATCAGGGCAGGGCAGGGCAGGGCAGCACATACAAACTGCATTTAGTCCAATAAAAATAAATGATATTATTAGGGTGATAAATAAAAGGCAGTTGCTCCAAGACACATATATTTTGAGGGAAACGCACTGTCTATTATTTAAATTCATCAAGGCAGGGCAGGGCATCACATACAAACTGCATTTAGTCCAATAAAAATACATGATATTATTAGGGTGGTACATACAAACTGCATTTAGTATAATATAAAAATACATGATATTATTAAGGTGATAAATAAAAGGCAGTTGCTCCATGACACATATATTTTGGGAGAAAAAACACTGTATATTATTTAAATTGATCAGGGAAGGTTAGGGCAGCACAAACAAACTGCATTTAGTCCAATAAAAATACAAGATTTTATTTGGGTGATACAAACAAACTGCATTTAGTCCAATAAAAATACATGATATTATTAAGGTGATAAATAAAAGTTAGTTGCTCCAATGCACATATATTTTGAGAGAAAAACACTGTCTATTATTTAATTTGATCAGGGCAGGGCAAGGCAGGGCAGCACATACAAACTGCATTTAATCCAATAAAAATACATGATATTATTAGGGTGATAAATAAAAGGCAGATGATCCATGACGCATATATTTTGAGGAAACGCACTGTCTATTATTTAATTTGATGAGGGCAGGGCAGGGCAGCACATACAAACTGCATTTAGTCCCAAAAAAATTACATGATATTATTAGGGTGATACATACAAACTGCATTTAGTCCAATAAAAATAAATGATATTATTAAGGTGATAAATAAAAGGCAGTTGCTCCATGACACATATATTTTGGGTGAAAAACACTGTATATTATTTAATTTGATCAGGGCAGGGCAGGGCAGGGCAGGGCAGGACAGGGCAGCATATACAAACTGCATTTAGTCCAATAAAAATACATGATATTATTAGGGTGATAAATAAAAGGCAGTTGCTCCATGACACATATATTTTGAGAGAAAAACACTGTCTATTATTTAATTTGATCAATGCAGGGCAGGGCAGGGCAGGGCAGCACATACAAACTGCATTTAGTCCAATAAAAAAACATGATTTTATTAGGGTGATACATACAAACTGCATTTAGTCCAATAAAAATACATGATATTATTAGGGTGATAAATAAAAGGCAGATGTTCGATGACACATATTTTGAGAGAAAAACATTGTCTATTATTTAATTTGATCAGGGCAGGGCAGGAAAGGACAGCACATACAAACTGCATTTAGTCCAATAAAAATACATAATATTATTAGGGTTACATACAAACTGCATTTAGTCCAATAAAAATACATGATATTATTAAGGTGATAA